TTACGTTCAGCAGCATGATTTCCCCTCACTTTTGCAAACTGGGTCACTTCTAACTTAAATTTAGCACTGTAAGAAAATCTTTTCGGAGACATTTATGGCAAAACATAAAGGAGGAAAAATAGACCCTTTTCCACACCTTTAGGCATATTGTGAATATATGGCTAGACCTATATTTTTATAGACCAATCGGTACTTGGTGGGTGATGTGATCAGCATCATGCCGGCTGCCTTTTCTTCCCAAGACTGCACTGGTACCCGCTCAAGGCTGGGAGTTCACCTAGGAGTCAAGGTCATTTCCAGCTCCAAGGTCATTTCCACAACCTTCCGATCCACAGGCAGGGGTCTAGCCGCCAAACACCACAGTGACTCCCAAGGCAAAACATAATCTTGTGAGAAAAGTGTGAAACAGTGAGCATCAAGACGGGCACAACAACTTTTATAGAGGGAAAGAACATGTAATTTTGTAATTTTTTAAAACATTTTATGTCAACTCTGAACCAGCATACCCAGATGAGGCCCTGTATGGGATATTATCTAACGAATCATTTTGTACACATGGACTGCTATTGTATAAGACAGGCGCATTTTTTTTTTTTTTTTTTTGACCCTATATTTGGGGAAAATAAGTGAGTCTTATACTTGGGGAATTATGGTATACGACAGGGCTATTCAACTAAGTTTACACGCGGGCCAAAATGTTGAAAATAGGGATCGTCGCGGGCCAGTGGCCTAAGCCAAGTGTGGAAAGATTATCAACACTACAATCGGGAAAACTAGATGTGTAAATTTAATACACTCTAATCTAAAACAGTTAGGTGCCCTAGGGCCTAGCCTACGGTAATATAAATGAAACAGTATTGTAAACCATTATAATGTAAAATGTACTACAATCTTATGTAATGATTAAAAAATACTCACTTTTATTTGAAATACACGTATTTCCAACTTGTTGTTTGAATAATAAATGAACGTATGCATCGTCACTTCAGTTGCATTGTCACAATAAAAATAGTAATACAATTAATAATAACTGTCCCCAGTTCGTTTCATATAGCTTTGTACAGAAGAACCGAAAGCTATAATGGGGTAAAATGTAATTAATGGGAAAAATTGCATTTCCGTTTTTGAGCTAATTTTATAAAATTTGGTTGGTGAGAAGTCAGAGCAATTCTCATGCAATCCTGCAGCTTATCATTGCTCAGTGAGCTCCGACTGTTTGTCTTGACGTTCATATGTGAAAAGCTTGATTCACAAGTGAAAGTTGAACCAGACATGGTGAGTATGAAAACGGCAACCTTTCTAGCATTAGGGAACTGCTCCTGTTGAATTGTTTCGGACTGAAATTTGAGGGTACCACTTTCTTGAAAGCCTTCATTCAGTGCGCTGGAACTTTGCAAATCCACAAGTTCTAAATGCAGAGAACCTTCAACAGAGGGTAACAGCTTTTTAGCATTCAAAGAAAAATCACCCGCAGGGGGAATTTAAAAAGGATCTCGAACGAATAACATTACATTGTTTGGGATACTTACTTTTTCCTTCCACGTATGCCGCTAAGCGTTGTGGGGAGATGCAAGTTCCTGTCATAAGCAAGGCGGGCAGCATCCGATGTTCTGAGGCCATGCTTTTGTCAGGTTTCGGAGACCCCGTCAATCCACCGTTTCCTTGGTCTTCCTCTTGCCTTATATCCTGAGCTTCTTTGGTTGAAAATTTGTGATGTTATTTGGGATACTGAAGTCTTCAAATCTGTTGTTGAGATTGTTCTAAAGCTTTTTTAATAAATCTATCATTCGATTAGTTATGGTTGCTGAGTCCAGTGTTGAAGAAATAAAATCGTTCAAGTTTGGGAAATGAAGAAGTTTGGCTGTTTGGAGATCCGTTACAAAGGTAGCTTATCTCGAAAAGTGTTCAATTATTTTTCAACCAGATCAAATGATTGTCTTGTGTCTTCCTTGCAGTTGCAAGTTCAGTGTGTTCAAATAAGCAAACAAATCATTTAAAAAGCAAACATTTGCCAAAAATGCACTGTCACGTAATAATTTCCTATACTTTTTCTGCCTTGTTATGAGAACAGTTTCCAAGAAAACATATTATTTCTTCTTTGATACTCCAAAAAACGATCAAGTGCTTTCCCTTTACTCAGCCAACGAACGTCATTGTGCAGAAGTAAGTCTTTGCAATCTGCTTCTGTTTCTTCAAGTAACTGCCAAAATAACCTGTGCTGAAGACTTGATGAAGATCCAATGAAATTGATTATTTTTATCACCATATTCATTGTTTCCTTCATCTCGTCGCTCAGTTTGCTGCAAAGAACACTTTGATGGATAAGACAATGTAGCGACTGCATCTGAGGTGCTACTGCAGAAAGTCTGGCGGTCACACCTTGGTGCTTACCTAACATTGACGGCGCCCCGTCCGTTACCAGTAAACAATTTTCTTTTCAAATCAAGTCCATTTTCTATTTAAAAAAAAAAATAACTTAATCTTGTCAGAGATAACTTCTCCAGTTGTAAAATTTTCGAATGCTATTAAAGCTAGAAGTTCTTCATGAAAACATTTTCCATCGAAAAAATGCACATATAAACATAACTGAGCCACGTCTATGATGTCTGTAGATTCGTCAATGGCAATTGATAAAAATTCTGCCTGCTTTATGTTTTCAATTAAAGATTCAAAAATTTCAGTTCCTAAATTTTCGATTATGCGTATTGTCGAAGTATCTGACATAGGGATTTGCTGAACTGCATGTGGCACGCTTGTTTTTATTTTATCAACTGCTATTTCGTTCAGAATTGCTAGTATGCATTCTTTCACAGTTTCTGAGTCAGTGAAAGGCCGCTTCTTTTTGGCTAATAACCACGAAACATGCAAAGAAGCCGCTGTGGCTTTTTCTTGTTGACTAAAAGCTCGCACAAACATTTTGCTGCTATGCTGATAAGTAGCAATCAATGACTCAACCTTTGATTTCCTAGCAGTGAAACCTTCTGGATATGATTTTCCAAAATCAGCGTGTTTCGTCGTAAAGTGCCGCTTTACGTTGTACTCCTTTACTGCCGACACACATTCGTTGCATAGCAAGCACATTGGTTTCGAATTAGGCATTGTTGGTGATATAAATAAATATTTCAGTGTCCAGTCATTGTTGAGCATACGATTTTCACATACCCATTTAGCTTTTTTACTAGTACCAGCCATGGCATCAAGTATGTCACTTAATTATTAAAATTTAGATAAATTAAAACACTGTTACTGTTTCAGTTTGTTACTACAAATCGCGTCCGGCAGTCTGCGTCTGTCTGTGACTTGCACACTAGACGTTTACAAAATATCTGATTATAATCTAACAAGATCACTAGTAGGAGGTGTTCTGCGATATCCAGTGTCACTAATATTCTGCAGCACCCATTGTCATTAATCTTTGTTTACAAGTTGTCAACTTTAAGGGATAGTTCCTCGGTAATCTAAGCGCTAACTATCTGGATCGGGATTGGATCTCCATACGCCTCCTGTCAAATAAATATATCACCTTCATTGACTGTCCAATGGTGCGACTGCTGCCTACCATGGTTACTTGATTCTTTCCAGACTATCTTATTACCTTTGGCTCCAAACAGGCAAGTTCTGCTATTTCAAGTAACTTTTACCGTGAACTAATTGCATTTCCATACATGAGACATTCCCGCAGTAGTGGTATTGTCTCTTCATACGCCCGTTCCCTTCTATCTTCGCATTTAGAATTTAGAGATCCCTGACAAACATTTTCTATTGTCACATTTGACACAACCGGTTTTTTAAGATTTATACAGAAACATTGATTGGTTACATCTTTTTTAAATATACTGCATTTCAGTGGCAACGATCGGCGGGCCACTTGCTAGGTCTCCGCAGGCCGCCAGTTGAATAGGCCTGGTATAAGATATATATGTATATATAATGTTCTATAGAACACACTTCAACAAGGCTGCCTGCGCCCCATGGCTGAAAATTTGTTAAGGTTCTAAACCTTCCAAAAGTTATCTTTTTATAAAAGATAACTATCCACTGCAGAGGTGGGTACAATTTTTTTTTGAAGATTTTTTTGTCAGTAGACTGCAGCTTACTTTATTCATCTGCATAAATATTTTCCTTTCTGAAAAAAATAAATTATTTTACTTTTGTAAGTTCTAGGCGGCGTTTGTAAGATTTTAACTGTTTATTTTGATTTTTTCATTAAAAATGGGTATTTATATTCTTCTTAGGTTCACCAGCTGTTGATTCCTGTAAAAAGTTCTGATTGTTCGTCCACTTATGGACTTCGATATTGCTCTAGAGTTTTTTTTTGTACACATCTGTTTTACAAATGGGGTTTATTTGTCTGTGGACTGTCGGTTCATTGCCTAACAGGGCAACGTTCTCTAGCCAGCGGAAAGCTGCAGTGACCACCTACACCTCCATTCTTAAGCTATCATGTGCTAGTCTCTACTACACCAAACATCGATCATTAGCTTTTGTTAAGAACACCCAGGAACTTTTTTTGACACTGAACCATCTGTATAATTAATCACATCACTCAAATGAGCATTATCTTGAATTTATTGCTGAATTTCCACTTCCGATGCATCTGCTGGTCACTCCCGGCACTCCTGGCTCAGTGTGAGTCTGCTTGTTCTGCTGGCACTCTGAACCACTCCTCTCCTCGCCTAATGTTCTTCACAATGCAAACCTATCCTCTGCCTGGGTCATCCATTAATTATTTTTTTACAGTCTCATTTTAAGGACTGCTTGACCAAAAAATATGGCAGAAACATTGTGCTTCCTCGAGAAAACAAAAGTTCTGTTCTATTTCACCCTATAAAAACCTCCAAATGGAAAACTGCAGTATTAGATAATAGGACTTAAAAATACTTTTTGTGAGAGTTGTTTATTTTAAAAAAAAATCAATTGTAGCAACACTTCTGTACATGCAATGTGACTGAGACTTGCTAATATCTGTTTTTTACAATTAGTTTTTTCTTTGTCTACAGTGAGAAGTCAGCAATCAATTGTGTCTACAAATACAATAAGTACTGGAGCCAAGTTTACAGTCACCTGTGATGCCAACAAAGCTACTGGTGCTGCTCCACAAGGAGTTGTTGGTGTACAACAGCTGACCATTTATCGAAACCTGACATCTACCAACACTTATTCCAATATTGCTCAGTACCGTGCCGGTATTCCCCCTGGTGTTAGTCCAAATGTTACGGTTTGTGCTTTTTATTTGTGTTTTTGTTTTTTTATTGTGTTCACCTTAGTGGCAGATTGGTTTGTGTAGTTGCTTGCCAAGATTATGATCCCAGATCAAATTCCCAGCCGTGACCAGATTTCTTTCTTCTGGCCAGTATGGCTCTATAATGTTGAGCCTAGAGCGAGAACTAAACAGGCCAGTGCAACAAGAGATGAGGAAAAGATGGTATTAGATAAGACATGCATTGAGAAATTGTGATGACAGTGCAACTGCAATGTTTTTAGCCCTGGAACCCACATGTCAACACAGTAAAAGCAGGTAAGTAAACATATGGGGAAAGAATTAGATCACGAGAGACAAAAAAAATGGGATGAGTTGTGCATAATAGCTCGTGAAATTAAAAAAATTGCATTACCACCCCTTTGACCTCTGATGCTAAACCCCCTGGGACTCAAAGAGTTACAGAAAAGAAACAATCATAGACAAGTGGTAGTTTAGTGTCCAAATATCAGTAACACATTAAAACAGATAATACTAATTTAATTGCTGCGCAACATACACATATTATACCTCAAAGTGACCAGGGATTGTTGAGGAATAATTTTAAAACACAGCTACAACAAATAACTGTGTTAGTAATTAAATATTAGCAAATAAACAGATGGTATGTTAACAAAAATTAATAAAATGAAATAAAAAAAAATTCTACTTACCACCATGGCACTCAAGAAAAACTGGTTAAAATGTATCCAAAATTAATCACAAATGAATATGAACCACTTAGTGATGTATAAGTAAAATTTAAACTCAATCTATACATTAGATTTTTTTTTTCAGAGAATCTTTTGAAGCATCATTACAGAGCACCATTATTTGGTAAAGAAAACTGACTCCCAAAACCATAGTGTCTTCACACAAAACAAAGTTTATATAACACTCAATTTGCGTGTAATTGTAAAGCTATGTTCCTAAATAATAAGGGGAATAGCACTGAAACTGAAGAAAATCGTCTTTACAATCATTTTTTATTTTATTTGTGCCAGCTGGCTTTGTTATTGTTGTACCCTTCGCATGAGATACACATTATAGACATATCTCTCATCAAAGTTTGACTCTATAAATGACTGAAACATGTCTAATTTGCTACGTCTATCTAACTTCGGAAAAACCTAAAAAAAAAATACTTTATTTAAATTTGAGGTTTCTATGGCCGTAAATCATGTTGGCATCCACGTAGAATACTGCTTGGCGGCTATATTCTTTTCAAACAAACCCTTAGTAGCTTTTAATGCACGTTTCTAAATGAGCACGCCTGATATCAAACACAAAGAACTCTAAAGAAAGTTGAAATTAAGCAGTCCGCGTTTTTAAAACCGGTCAGTGGTAGATTAAAAACCTTCACTTGTCACGCGTCTATTGGGCCACCTGATTGTAACAAATTAGTGCGTGATGAGTTCCCTAGACATAGCTTAGGGGGTGGGGGGAACATTGTTATTTGACTCTTTGATTTATATCGATGTTTTCCAAATTCTTATTAGCAATGATTTCTTGTCCTTTTCTTTTTAATCACATTTTATTATGCTGGAGGAGGAAGGGGACATAGAGGTCTTGCCATATAATCAAGGGGAGCACTTGAAAAAGGGTTGGAGACTTCCACTTTAGAGAGTCTCCATTGTTGCTGATTATGGCACCGAGGTATTCAAAGTTAAATGCGGAGAATGAATATGATTTTTAAAGGAACATAATTTAGACATGCTTTATTACAACTGTTCTGTTGCATTTCTGTTGTAAGATAGCCGAAAGAGCTTGGATCGTGGACTTTTTCCTACAGGTTTTCATGGCCTTTGGATTATTTTGTTTGGACAGTCTTCATTTCTGTAATGACTGTTCCAATTCGTAAACAATCGGACATGGGGTGTCGCAACTTCGCCTTCAATCTTCCCCGCTTATATTCCTAAATCACCAGACTTATATTTCCTGTCTGTGATCGGAAATGGTTCTACCCGATATCTGGTTAGTAGCTAATCTCAGGTCCTCTTGTTAGGGATATATGGTCCGACACAAATTTTCCTCAGCCTCTTTCGTTCAGACGAATTCCTATTTCTGCAATGTTTATATTCACTCTGGTCACTGTGGCTCCAGTCACTTGCAGACTTCTCACTCGTGCACTGACAGTCAATTCAACGAATGAAAAAAAGACAACATTGAACGATACGGTGTGTTGTTACTCTTTATTATTCACACGCTGTTTCTTCAGCCAGTACATGGTGAGGAATATAACATCTGAGTACTCACATCTACGTGGATCAATTTAAAATGATCAACTTAACCTTCAGACGAAACTACAGACATCCATTACACAACAGAAAATGAAAACTCCATGACGGGCGAACACACACAATCAGCGTTGGCAGACAGCTTAGGTCATTTCTTGCTGATAGCCAGGTAGGGAGTTAAAAACTTCAGACATATCTCTCGGCATACTTGATACAAATACTTCTCCACTCTACATGCATACAGTTTCCTGGCCCAAACGAAACTGCCCACTTGCTCTTTCTATGGCATTATATAATCTTTTTTCGCCCATGTTATAATTACACCCACATACAACTTTCTTGTGTTCTCCAATTCGCACAGGTTTTATTTGGTCAACATTCTCCCTGTGCATCTTTGCTTCGTACTCGTTACATTATCTCATTCATATTAATTACCCGGCATCATTCCTTTTGTAACATAACTTATCAGGGAGAAAATGGTTCACTACACCCTACAACTACTCATCTTTCACATAGCAATTATATTTATTTAATACATAAGTTCATATATTCATATCATCATCATCAGGTGCCTTGCCAACTGGCATGAGCGGTCATGCCTCTCCATAATCCACGATCTCCTGCAGCATGTATCAGTTTGTGTGCTGACACACCTCCATGCCATGCAGCAAGACTGTCAAGCATCTTCTCTCGTTGTCTTCCTCTATCCCTTTTTCCACAGATCTTTCCAGTGGTCACAACATGTTCTATTTTCCCTTTTCTCATAACATGGCCGAAAAATGATGACTGTCTCCTTCTGATATCTGTGATAAGTTGTCTTCGGGCTCCCGCCTCTTTCAAAACCTCTTGGTTGCTCTTTTTGGCTGTCCTAGGTATTCTAAGCATTCTTCTGTAAAACCACATCTCTGAGGCCTCTAAAAATTGTTTGGCCTGCCTACCGATTGTCCAGGATTCACAGCAATATGTTAAAACTGTATGTATTTAGCAAGCAAGAATTCTTTTTCTAACTCTTAATGACAAGGATATATTGCACAAGATATTTTTCATTTAAAAAAATGCAGTTTTTTGCCTGTCCAATTCTTTTTCTTACTTCAGTTATGCATCTTCCATCTGATGTTATCCATGTACCCAGATACTTAAATTTCTGTACTTGTCCTAAAATATCACCATTGACTTTTATTACACATTTAGGAATAATTTGTTTCTTTGATACCACCATTACTTCTGTCTTCCCATTATTCTAACTGAGACCCATTCTTCCATTTTCTAACACCACAATGTCTATCATTTCCTGTAGTTCTTTTTGACTTGTTGCTATCAAGACTGTCATCAGCATAACGTAAATTGTTTATATTGTGCCCACCAACCACAATTACGGGCATATCAATTAAAGATCTCATTATATATTCACTGTATATTGAAAACAAATCAGGTGAAAGTACACATCCTTGTCATACACCCCTCTTTATGCTTTGAAATGTACCTAAACAGTTGTTTATTATTCTTATAGCTGCTGTTTGCTGCCAATACATATTCTTTATTATTCGTAGATCTTTCCCATCAATGTTTAATTTTTCTAACAGTTTGATTACCTCTTCATGCTTCGCACAGTGAAAAGCTTTTGTATAGTCTATGAAGCATAAGTACAAATCAGTCTTTACTTCTATAGCTCTTTCTGACAATGTCCTTAGGATGTAAATGGCATTGTTTGTACCTTTTCCTTCTACAAATCTACATTGTTCATCGCTGATTTCTGGTTTAACCCTTTTAGCACGGGAAGTTTTTCAGAGGTCTAGCCAAAAACACGGAGCATTTTTTCAGTGAATTTGGTTAATACTTTAATTAATTTTTTTGACAGATTTCTATTATTCTGACCCCTATGAAATAATATATCTATTTGAAGGATATAGATTGAAGTTCATGATTTTCACAATATCGTTAAAATTAATTGATGTATATGCAAATTATCTCATTTGCATATCTAAAAATAGAAAATATGAATTTGAATTTTCAACTTCAATGCTTGAAACATAAAACTAAAAACAAAAATTTTTTTTATTTGAAATCTTTTTATTGATCTTTAGCCTTTTTACAAATGTTGTAAGCCCGTGCTAAAAGGGTTAATTTTGTTTCTTATTCTTCTCATAATTATTCTCAGTAAAATCTTAGTCATGTGATTCATAAGACTTATTGTGCGATGGTCTTCATATTTTAAAGTGCCTGGTTTCTTTGGCAGAGCTATAAATATGGATTTTAAAAGGTCATTTGGAATATACCCACTATTATAAATATTTACAAGTTTAGTTATTATTTCAATTCCAAAATTTCCCAGCGCTTCGATTTCTTCCAGTGAGATGTTGTCTGGTCATATGATGTATTGCATCCTCAACTTCTGTAGTCATTATTGGTGGACCATCATTGTTGGTCTGCAGTTCTACGTCTGGTCTATTATCATACAATTCCCCTATATACTCTGTCCATCTGTAAATTATATTACTATGTCCCATTAATAAGTCACCATCTTTTGATTTCAAACATCCAGTGCTGTTACGTGTCATCTTTCCTATTAACATATTCATCTGTTAGTACATGGAATGTGAGTCTTTCCTGTGATTTTCCCCAATTTCTGTACACATTTGATTCAGCCAGGCTTCTTTAGCCACTTTGCATTTGTTCACTATTTCTTTTTGTATTCTAGACTATTATTCTTTATCATTCTTTTTCTTCCTTCTTTCATCCATCAACTGCAGAAATTCAGTTGACATCCATTTCTTTTTTGTAACTCTATGGGTTGGTGGGATTGTCTCTTTTGATGTCTGCTGAATTGACTCACGCAACATATCCCACTGTTCATCAATAGTCTGTATAATTTCCATTGCATTATACCGGTTTTGTACAGTGACATTGTACTGTTCCTTAATTTCTTTATCCGTTCTAAGAATTCCTAAATTTAACTTGATGTTCTGTGGTGTTTTTCTAATGTTGAAATCAAAATATAATCAATCTGATTGCGGACATTATCACCAGGACTTTTCCAAGTCCACAATCTTCGAGGATGGTGTTTAAACCAGGTGTTACCTATTATCATGCTGTGCGACTCAGCTCATGCTATTAATCTGTCACCTCTCACATTCTTTTCTCCTAGGCCATAGCCACCCGTTATTCCGTACACTTTTTCACTTCCTACTTTCGCGTTGAAATCTCCAAGTACCATTGGAGTTAGACATGGCTGTTGATCAATGCAAAAATTGTGAAGTACCATTGATACTTCACAATTTTTGCATTGATCAACAGCCATGTCTAACTCGTCATAAAATGCGTCAATATCTTCCTCTGAACTATCTGCTGTTGGGGCTTAAATCTGTACTAAGTTGATGTCAAACGGTCTGCCGCGAAGTTTTACTAATAGTACTCTATCTGATATTGTCCAAAATCCTTCAACAGTTTTTGAGTTCTTTGGATCCAAAATAATACCAACTCCCTTACTATATTCCGTCCCACCCGAGTAAATAATTCTGTACTGATCTGAATACTTTTCCCCTGCTCCTGGCCATCGCATTTCACTAATTCCTAATATGTTGATGTTCATTCTCTTCATTTCCATCTTGATGTTATCCAGCTTTCCGTTTTGTACGAGTGTTCTGACATTCCATGTACCAATGTTCATGATGTTTCTACCATTTACTTTTTCTACAGTAGCTGGATGACGGTCGGGTATCACCCGTAGAACATGATGCTCCCTACCGGACGAGGTGATTCCACCGGAATCCCCATTCACGTCGTTATCTGAATACGTATTATTTTGAGGCATGATTTTCTTGGTATAGTACAGCGGTGGTTTCCCCTTGCCTTCCGCCGGTTTGTATATGGTTTGACTCCAATAGCCTTTGCCTAAAGAGACTTACCCTGCAAGGCAGCAGGGGGGAGAGGTTATGGCGCCTCTTACCCGCCGATGGCCATGTCGTAAAGTTTTGAGTTATTTTATAGAGTTAGCTGTCCCACCAACTAACTCAACTAACTATATTCATATACATACAATGAATATGAAGTACAAAAATAAGAGTATAGTATAACAAAAGCATACACACAAACACATTAATGTATATGTGTATACATATATGTATAAAATTTACATTCATACCCACACTCAGAGAGTGCATACTGTCGTGAAGAGATAAACATTGGCATACATACAAGCCAGCATATTCTCACACCAGCAAACGTATGCACACATTCATGCTCACACGCACATACACACAGTAGTTGGAGTCCCGCTGTCATAGTTTTGGCTGTTCCAAGTCAAAGTTTCAGACACACAGACGCACACATACACAGAGTAGTTTTAGTAATGTAGTCACTGAAAGTTATGTACTTTAATTTCTAGAACAATCCTACTGGAAGAAACTGGACCTTTACATTCAGTGGGGCCGGCAATGGTGCAAACAACCAAGGTACAATGAGGATTGTGTGGGATGTAAATGATGTATCATGTAATGATGCTGGAATCTACAGATGTCAGATAGACTATTTTTTAGCAAATGCTCCATCAGTTACTGTCTTTGCTGCTGATCAGAATGTAACAGCAACAAGTGAGTATATATATATAACATTTCAGATTTGTATATATGTTATATTCCATACATTTTATAGCAGTGTAGAGGAGCAGCTGGCCGAACAGTTAGAATGCTTGGCGCTCAAGGGAAAGACCCGCGTTCGAATCCTCCATAAGGCCCGGAATTTTTTACTCACCTGCACAATTGTGGCGACAGCACTATCCATGCATCCGTAAATCCTCAGGCTCAAACACTCCCCCCACCCCCCTCTTCCATCCCCTTACACCATAAAAGTTTGTTGTTGTAAACTGGCATGTTTCATTACACTGTTGTGTGAGCTGCCACTGAGACTATAAAGTCATCCTGCTGAAAGTTTCAATACTAATCATGCACTTCAATTCTGGAACTGTCTTTACTGGTTCTTGGGTCCCGTTGTAGGGAAAACCAGAATAGACCCACTGCCTCCCCAACAAGCGTGTCATATGAGTTGACTAATTGGAGGCGTCCTTCAAATTCAGAGTACATCTGCCTAAGAAGCAAGGAATCAACAGTCTGCATACACATAAGCCAGATCTGTAAAATGGATGTGCATGCAGCACTCGGGTTCTGGAACAAGACTCAAGTCCGGGAGTGGATGAACAGAACTTTCTGCTAGAGTTGACAGCTGATGAAAGTGAAGGAGAATAATCCTAGGACACTTCTGCTGGAAGCAACTGGACTTCATCACTTTAAGAGGAGCAAACAACATAAAAGGTGAGTGGCAGATTTTTAAAACCTGCGTCCTGAACAAAGGGTAAGAAAACTGCAGTCTTGAATAGCTGGGCACTCATAAAAACACATTGTAATGGAATGAAATTATTAAAAATTATATATAAAAAAAAACATTTCTTAAAGTGGCAGAAGACAAAGTGAAATGGAGATTAATCATGGGAATGCCCAGGGTGCTGTGATGTCGATTCTTGATTCACCTCATCTCAACTCAACATGAGCATAATATACTTTAAAGATAGAGTACAGCTGTTGAGTGAAGGATGAGTGTTTTGAAGGGCTGAATGTATGATGAACCTGCTTCCCATAATGTTTTTGACCCTTTGGAAACAAAGATTGTTGACTGTTTTTCCTGAAAGTTTTTGTTTTTAATTACTAAAAGAGTTATTGATGCATATGTCTTAAAATTGATTAACTTTCATTGCAGCTGGACTGTCCAATTTTGACATAAAAGCTGACCCGTATCAAAATGATTTTGCTGTGGATGACAATGTCACATTCACATGCTCGGCTATTGTAAGTTTTTACATTTTTAACCTTTCTCAGTATTTCACTTCAACTGAATTTAATCCTAATTGTTTTTCTAATCTAAATTATTGAACATCTATTACAAGAGAGAAAGAGCAGAAACTATTACAGCAACCTGTCAGTCATATTTTTTTTAAAGGACATATTTCATACCTGTGGTGTATTAGGTATATGGTGCTAGACCTGTGTTATAGACCAGGTGAAACTCAAAATGTGATATAGGCAATTTAATACTGGCCACCTTTACTTCCCAGGATTTACTGGTACCCATTTTAGACTGGGTCTGCCTTGGAGACAGGTCAGTTATTTTTTTGTAAATATGAGTCTGGATTTGAACCAATACCTTTGGGCTGGTAAACTAGCATTTAGCCACTGCACTACTATCATATTGTGCACTACTATATATCATTTTTTTTCACTACTATCTATCATATTGTGCACTATTATCTATCATATTTTGCACTACTATCTATCATATTGTGCACTACTATCTATCATATTGTGCACTACTATCTATCATAATGTGCACAACTATCTATCATATTGTATGAGACAAATGATGAGGTTCGCTTGCCATCTCAGCACATACACCCCCGCCCCCCCCCCCCCCCCCGCCCCCCCAAAAAAATTAGCTCTGTTTATGCCAGTTACTGATTGTAATGTGTCTCCTCTGCACTTAATCTCTCTCGTGCAGATTCAACACTGGCTCTGTTGTCTGGGTGTCACAGTTCATTCCAGCCAGACTGCTCTTCTCTCCAACTGTCACACATCTTTAAATGACAGTTGACAGCACTTCACAGGTTTATTGTCAATACAACACTAGTGACAAGAATCAACAGTAGAACTGATCACTTACGCCATTCGGGCAAACTCGACTTGCTCAGGCTCTAAGTCTTCAGCCACGATTCAGATGATGGACACTGGCATGTACACTGCTGGCCTAAATAATAATTCAACACAGCTCCACTTCTTGTCATTCAAGACTAACATTCACTCAATTCTCATCCAGATCCACATTTATACTTATCACTCTGGATTCAGTTTCAGGTCCTTTCAATCTGGGGTCTAGTCACAAAATGACCTCCTCATTCTCGATCTCCCAGATCTTGCATTCATACCTGACTTGCTCAGTTCTGTCTTTTAACTATCTCCCCATGAAACCCATGCTATCAGGGACTTCCCCAATTCTGTCACTCAGTCATACCCTGATGCTATTCCTATTTATAGCATCACTACACTGATGCTGTTCATATTCATACTAACACTGTGTGCCAGTGCCAAACTTGGACATTGTCACAAACTCACTAACATAAAATTAACACCTGTGATATGACATGCTGGAGGAAAGCTGCTAGCTTAATCATCTAAGATCGAGTGAGACATATTGTCAGTTATATTATGGGAACAACTTCTTGCTCCACATTTATTCTGACACAGATCAAGTGGTTTGGTCATCTGATTTGAATGCAACCAGAACTAAGAACACAGGCATGATGTGAGAGTAAGATTGGTGCCCTAGGAGAGGATGTAGAGATAATATTAGACATTATACATCCACATGGACTGGCAATAGCTAGTGCTGACCATCAAGCACTGCACCCCAAACAGTTCCTGTCACAACACTTAACTAGGACTCACGAGCAAAGCTGCAGGAGATGCAGAAGCTGCTGCTCATGAGTCCCAGCCATCTAGTTTAGCCCCAATCCACGCCGCGTGAGCGGCTACTCTCGGCGGTGGTGGTAGTCGCCGGAAAACCACAAATTAAGTCGCCGGAAGTGCGCAATTGACACATGACTGAGTCTCTGTTAGGATGTTTTTGCAGCCACCATCTTTTGTGCCCCTTATTTGGAGGATAGCCCGCAATGAAAATAATAGACACACTAAATAAAATATGGGTGCATGACTTGAATAAAGGCAGCAGTTACACACTTTCTATGAAACATAGATTATATTGAATATGGAAAAAACTAACTAGATTTCGGTACTATTTGTCATATCAGATCATGCGTTGCAGAGTTTATGTGGTCAATAGCATATCATATAAGTTACGTTGTTTAGGACTAAAAATGTTTATGGTAAAAGTGAAAGTTGATGATGATTATAAACCAAGAGGACCTTTCTCAATAAGCAGACACACAAACTATTATCTGACTGCTAAATGTTTAAACTACACACATTAAAGCCTAAACCAATTCAGTATACATGGACATTAGAACTAAGCCAGTTATTGATGCTAGTTTCTGCTTACAAATGTGGTTGGTTATCATTACGGTCTGAGGAGAATGGCACTGCGAGGAGTTACCTGGGGATCTGGCTGATGCTCAACACTCGGGGGAAGGATGAGACAGATATACAATAAGACGGTTACTGGTACCATGGGAAATGGGACTCTTTGCTTGCTGCTGAAGATGGGGGACTGGGCACTTATTGGAGTGTCCCGAGTGCTGTGATGTTGATTCTTAATTCAACATTCCAATGTGCAGTGATTTTGATGCAGGAAGAAGCAACTGCATACCTCACCTCGGGTGTCATCAGACTCTGTGCTGGTTTTGTGTAACCTCATGCAAGATTCCTGCCACATATCCTTTGGTATGGTTTGAACAATGGATCAACATCATGGCACAAGGGTAGTAACTCATAAGTGCTTCATTCTACTTCTAACTCAAGCCTGAGTCTGAAGAATGTCAGCGCAATGCATGAACTCCATAGCACCGATGAGGATCCTGTGACAGAGTATCCTACTAAGTGGCAAACTTTGGTTCAAATGTCTGCAGACTGAGAGTCCTACTATATGATAAACCTTGGTTCAAATGTCTGCCGACTGGGAGCCCTACTATATGATAAACCTTGGTTCAAATGTCTGCAGACTGAGAGTCCTACTATATGATAAACCTTGGTTCAAATGTGCATCTATCAAATGTCCTACTGCCTACTGTTTGACAGCAAATGTTCATATATCTTTTGCTGAATAATTCTACTTTTTGACACAGTGTTCGAATGTCTGTTACCTGGCCACACTCATTGGAATGAAATAAGGATATAGGGAAGCCATTCCTGATGGTGCTTCTCATAAACATCAAACAAAATGCAACCGGGCACTTGTGGAAAAAAATGCCAGCGACATATAATTTTAACATGCATTACTCAAAGCCTCTGGCCAGCAGAAAGCTTTCTGTGGATCCCAAATGAGTGCAACCCTTAAAGAATGGAAGGCTCATTATACAGATGTAAAGTTAGGCAGCAGTGTCCATGACGTGACACTTCCTGGATGAGCTCGCTACCAGAGCACATGGCTGTATTGTACTGGTCCTCGATTGACAACACCTGTAGATCAGAGAATGACAAAGCCACCATACAAATAAGGCCGTAAAATGTCCCTCACTGCGCTTAGTTACTGATGCTAGACACCGTTTACACATCTGCCTGTGAATATGTATTTAATTATGTCACTTCTTCCTCGTCTTCAGTATTCCGAGCCCCTGAGGTCCATTGCTGCAGATATCACCATCTCCATTCATCTCTGGTAATCCTCTCTTTCCATTCACTGACTTCAGTGTTTATAGATCTGCTTGAATATTATCTCCTCATTGTCTTCTTTGTGGTCACGTGTGCACAATTTCTACCTCTCTGTCATCTGATATTATCTCAGTATGCCCCAGACATTTCAAGTCTTATTAGCCCTCATGATGCTATTTCATTCTGTTAGCCCTCATGATGTGTATGATCCCCCCCCCCCCCCCCCCCCCCCCCCCCCCCCCCCCCCCCCCCCCCCCCCCCCCCACCCCTGTATCAGAATTCAGTTTTAAAAAAAAAATTCTGAAATTTTTTCATTGCCTTTTTAAAACATGAATGTGATCTTCACAGTGAAGGTAAGCTGCAGTACACCTAATGTAGTTTTTTGGAATATTATTTGGTAAAGCCCCAGTCACTTCCATGTTGCAACTCACATACAACTGCCTGAAAGCCAAAAGAACAAGTCACACATTATCTGTATGTTTCCCCATGTGTGTTCCGGGGCCCTGTTAAAGGGAAAAACAAGAATAGACCCACTGCCTGCCCAAAAGCATGTCATAAGAGTCGACTAATTGGGAGCTTCCTTCAAAGTCAGAGTGCATCTGACTAAGAGGCAAGGAACCAGCATTCTGCATACAGATGAGTCAGATCTGCAACACTCAGGTTCTGGAACAGGACTGCAGTCCAGAAGTGGATGAACATCCAGAACTTTCCGCCGGAGTTTACAGCTGGTGAACGCCAGGAAGAAGAAGATTATCTCTGTGTTAAAATTAAAGAATATGTATGTTTCATTATTTGCTTTTGGTAAATCCTTGCTGTATTTCCTTTCTCACCCTCTCATTCAGGGACCAGCGACTGGTGTGACCTTCAAGTGGGAGTTCTGGGTTAAGGATCAGTTTGACATGGATCAGCCACTGACTATGCCAGCTAACAGTGAAACTATGGACAAACCTCCAGTACCTCAAACTGGCAACACTGGTTGTGCACAGTACAAGTGGGAGTCAATGCTGAGAATTCAAGTACCCGCTGGGAATGACCAGCAGGCGTACAAATGTATTGTAACTTACCTCCAGCAGCAAGAGAGCGGCAACTGGACTATTGGTACAACAGGTGGTAGGTGCCGGGTTTACCGTACTACATTAAGCACCATGTTTTTTGGGGGGTTTTTAACATCACTAGCAACTAAAAGTATTACAGTTTGAACTGACATACACATTTTTCAGTCTTATTTTAAATGCTTTTTAATACCACAGTGTGTGCATTGTTAGTTCCTAACAAAGTAGCTGTTGATTAGTTTATAATTGTTTTTCTATTTTGTGTAGTGCTAACAGTGTTCGTTACAATAATTTAATGCTTTTCTGACTAACTAGCATATTTCAGTCACTGCTCTCTAAATGAAATGGTAAAGTTAAGTTTTAACACTCTGCTGACCAACTTCACCAATCTGCCAGTTTCCGGTCCTGCCCCTTGGTGACTGACTGCGCAGTTGGCGAATTCGTGATATGTAGTCTGCAAACAGGCCGCCTACCAATAGTTTTCTAATTGAGCATCATCGGGGTGTTTTTATTATTCTAAAATGGTTGCGCCCATGATTGATACCACTTTAAGCTGATACATGTGACAAAAGATTAAGGCAGGTTGGCCATTACCTGAGACAGCTCACCTGATATTTGTTGTTTACTCCAATGATGTTATAGACAAGACAGGAAAAGTGGAATTCTTGAGGGCAGAATAAATAAATAAGCCAGTTCTTGCAGAAAATACAACAGCAGCAACAGCTTGATACCCTCCCTGTTCAAGCTATACCATACGGTTAAGGATTATCAACATCCCTGACAAAGACAGAGGGCTACTGCTACAGCTTCAACTCCAGTTAATGAAAGGAAGTAGCTCAGACTTCAACTAGACATGCTTTAATAATCAAGCATTCACAAATACTCATTGCAGCGTGACAATGTTTTATTGCACTGACATTGAATAAATTCACCAAGAACTTGAAAAAGATGGTGGTTTTAGAACTTCGCCTGAAATTTCTAAAAACAGCCAAAGTCAAGATGGCCACCATGATCATATGACATATTTGCACAGTAAATCTTTTTTCATGTGTAGCAACCATTTATGATCATGCTCCTAAAGTTTCAAAACCCTACGGTCGGTTTGTATTATTTTATTAGAAAACCAGTCATTTAGACAAAAATGTCCAGACACCCTTGGTAATGCCCCAGATTGCTGGTCAGCAAAGTGTTTAGCCACTCTGTTTATTTTGTCATTCAAAAAAGGTGTTCAAATGTTGTAGCTCTTTAAAAATGTCATCATTTGTGTTGTATTTCTATCAGCCTATTTAATCAGCCTGAGTTATAATTGGGAGATAATATATGGTGTATATTGATATTTCAAATACAGAATTTGTATAGTTGTAGAAAGATAAAGATGTTTTATGTGGAAGAAATGTCTTACTATTTGTGTGTGTTGGATATTCATGGGAAAAAAATAGTCTTACTATTTTTTTATCATCTGGAGATTAATTGTAATGTTCATATTGTAATATTCTTCTGCTTTCCCCCAGTTATCTAAGCATATTTAAAGCAGTTTTCTAAGTTTAAAAAAAAAATTTTTTTTTTTAGTCACTATCATATTGAGCTCTTAAGAATATAATTTTTTTACCTATTGTCTTTTTAGTTTCCTGAAGTTTTAATCCGTCAGTAATACAAATACTCTAAAAACTGGGACTGGTGCACACTTTGTACACATTCAACTTTTAGTATGCCAAAAAAAGTAAGTTCAAAATAATTTATGTAAAGAAATGCTCAAGCTCTACTATAACTCAACTTGGTGCTTACTGAAAACGGTAAATGTTCACCTACATTGAAATCATACATTCTATAACATCAGCTTAAATTAAGTCATACATCACTGCATAAATGAAATCATTCATTGAATGAAGTTCCTCATAAATTAAATCATACATATTGTGTTGTTATTACATAAATGAAGTCATGCTTATCACAGAAATTGAATCATTCATATCAGTACATAAATGAGTTGAGTCAAAAATTGACATACAACACTCGCGACATTCCCATGTGTGCTCTGTCCTCAAATCTTCAGCAGCCAGCGCAGAGTTCCAATACTTATGGTACCTATCACAATCTGGTTATATATCCATCTTGCCTTTCCTCTGAGTATAGTGAGCTGACCAGACCCTCTGGTCACACCCTCTCTCTAGGCCTTAATAATCTTGTTTTTTTTTTGTTGATTCCGCTGCTTGTTCCCAAAGGGCCTTGACCACATCTGCCTTGTCATGTATCATTTCACCACCCAGTGGTGCAGATCCAGCCAATCTGTCTGCCTGTTTATTACCCAACATGCCAGCATGGCTTGGAGAAAGGATCCAAAGTATGCTCACTACCCGTGACCTTTCGTGTGAAGCTTGCCACTCTGCTTGAAGCATCCCTGTCATCTTTCTCAACATGCTTTCAGAGTCTGTTACAATTACAAAATGTGTATGCATCTTGTTCTCTAGCCACCGGAGAGCTGAAGCTGTGATGTCATTTGCTAGGCTGTCTTGCACTAAAGATTTTCCATTTGCTTTCGCAACAAACCTCCAGGCACTTTTCTTTCTTCTCAACAGTTAACCATCTGTATAGATATTTAGATCGCTTGCGCATAAATTGTTGCGAATCAGCTGTTGACTTCCACCTCCGTAGCACCCACTGGCCACTCTCTGCACTCCCGACCCAATGTGATCATAACCCTACAAAGGTCAGAATTCTCTACTGGTACTCTGATCCACTCCTCTCCTCGTTCAGCGTTCTCCATCCAGCATGCATACTTGTCTTATTGTCTTCTGCTTGAGCCATCCATGATTCCCCCCCCCCCCCTCCCTTTTCAGCCTCTGACCCTTACCTGCAGCCAAAGCTTCACACAGAGGGTGTTCTTTGTCTGTAGCTACTCTGAGTTTTGACTTAGCCTGTAGCACCTTTAGTCTATCTGCAATAGTCGGCAATGCAAGGATGTATCGCATGCACCCAATCAGTACATAAATGAAATCATAGACTGGCTGAAATATCATATTAATAAAATGCAATATGTAACATCAGCTCAAACTAAATGAAACACATCATGACTTAATTAAATAAATGAAATCATTGATTGAATGTAATACTGTATAAATAAAATCATACATATTGTCACACCATTATATAAATTAAATGATAGAATTTATCAAATATTGCATAAACCAAATCATACAGATCATCGAATCATTACATAAATGAAATCATATATTGAACAAATACTGCATAAATAAAATCATACATTTCATGAAAGCATATACAAATTAAATCATATATTCACATGCAGTAGTCTCCCTTGTATAAAGGACCAAATATATAAATGACTTTACAGGTATATATAATGCTAAAGTTAAAACAAGGACTGGGCACAGGTTGTTTTTATAGTTCCTTTTATTCTTCAGTTGTCTTTTTCCTTTCAATATTTGCTGTTTCACTGTGCTTGCTGTTTCTAATGCTGGCTATTTAATATCAGGCAAAATTAAGTTGATAATTCATTCAGCGCATCTTATGGTTTCATAACTCCATCCCCAATTCCTGATCTTTGGGTAATGGATATAATGCCTGGTCTCTTAAAGTAAGGTCTACATAATTTGAGGGGGAGGGGGGGAGAAAAAGGAATGGCAGGTCAAGATAGTGTTGGGAAGTTGATAAATATCGCTTCAGAATTTGTTTATCATCATGATGTGCCATGCTTTAAGCTTAGGCTGTCATTGTTTGGCTACCTAACAGAATCACGGAACAGGTCAGTGTTTTTGTCTCGCCCCCATCCATGTATCCAGGCCATCCATGTATCCAGGCCATCCATGTATCCAGGCCATCCAGATATTTATCTCTTTGCCTTTCTCTGGCCAGTTGTTACCAGGTTCTCAAATCTCTTTCTTCTCATAACATGTCCACACACGTGTGCCCGTACACACACACACACACACACACACACACCCCCCCCCCCCCAACGGGCTGTCTAATTGTTCTAATAAGTTGACTTTTAACTGTCACAAAAAGGACTGCTTCATTTGTTTTTCCATCACAACATGATATTCTTTTCATTCTTCTTCTTAAAAAAAACATCTCTGCCATGAGTAAATGTACATTTGTAGAGATACAGTAAATAACCTATGCCATTTGGCAAGGCACTTGATAATGATACAGACTTTGGATTTCTTGGAAAGAGTTTTTGGATTACGTGATTGATTCTTTTTGTTTCCATCAATTGCAACCTTTTGGTTTGTTTTTAGAGGTTGGTAAATTTACTGCACTCTAATAGCCTTTTGCAATTGGTTGCTGTTTTGTTGTTTTGCTTCTTGTATTTTATTTATAATTACTCTTTACATTTAACCCTGTTCCTGTTGGCCTAATAAGACTAAATCTGGTCACTTTCAATTGTGACAGTCCTGCAGTGACCTCTTGTTTTGAAAAGAATAGATTTCAGTGGTCTTGTTTGTGCCTGTGCAGTGTTTAATTATATTAATAGGCCAGGATATCATAGTGACAAACAAATATTGGTGGGTGGCAGTGGGGTTATGATCCAAATGGCTTTTTGAAAGCCAAGTTGTCAATTTTCTGCCATAAACCTCAGTCATAAAGGTCACGGTATGAATTACCTGATACATATTTTTGCTTTAGGCCCCAGGAGATGTAGTCCATTTAAGGCTTCAATCTGTACATGTTTATTAATTATACAAAAAATGTATTGACCTATAAAAAAATTTAAAAATTGTTTTATTTAAAGGACAATTTCCTGGAAATTCCCACTGGCTTATGGCCCATTTGTTTAGCATTTGCAGGGTGAAGGGGTTAATGTGTAAACATTTAATTTTTATTTAGTTATTTTTGTTCTCTACAAAGGAGACTGCTGCTCATATCATTCATGGTTTCATTAACTTCATGTATTAAATATTTAAACCGTGTTTTTATTCCTAGCTTTGTTGAAGGAAATGTTTTAGGTATATATAGGCATACTCAAGGTGTCACTTATATCCTGTGCCCATCTTCATGTCAGTTGGTCCCTGCCCTTCCTTTCTACTACCATGCCTTCTGCTGTAATTTTTTCCAATCCGTCGTGGCCCTTGATATGACCAAAATATTGCAGCTTCTGAGACAGGATGATGTTTATTAGCCAATCTTCCTTGATGTTCAAATCATTCAAGATGTCAGTATTTCTCCTCTTCATTGTCCAGGATATTCTGAGAATCTTTCTATAGGATTTCAGCTCAAAAGCCCCTATTCTCTTTCTTAAGGACTGAGAGATAGTCCATGACTCACATCTGTATATTGCTACAGGGAAGATGCTCTCAAAATTCTAATTTTGATCTCCTTGCTGGTGCTTGGAGATTTCAATGCGAAAATAGGAAGTGAAAAAGTGTGCGGAATAACGGGTGGCTATGGCCTAGGAGAAAAGAATGTGAAAGGTAACAGATTAATAGCATGGGCTGAGTCACGCAGCATGATAATAGGTAACACCTGGTATAAACACCATCCTCGAAGACTGTTGACTTGGAAAAGTCCTGGTGATAATGTCTGCAATCAGATTGATTATATTTTGATTTCAAGAAGATTCAGGAGCAGCTTAGTTGGAGCAAAAAACTAGACCAGGAGCAGACTGATTTAGTGACCATGTTCCAGTTGTAGGAAAAATTAGAATAAAACTAAAGAACATCAGAAAATCACCACAGAACATCAAGTTAAATTTAGGAATTCTTAGAACGGATAAAGAAATTAAGGACCAGTACAATGACACTGTACAAAACCGGTATAATGCAATGGAAATTATACAGACTATTGATGAACAGTGGGTTATGTTGTGTGAGTCAATTCAGCAGACATCTAAAGAGACAATCCCACCAACCCATAGAGTTGCAAAAAAAGAAATGGATGTCAACCGAAATTCTGCAGTTGATGGATGAAAGAAGGAAGAAAAAGAATGATAAAGAAGAATACTCTAGAATACAACAAGAAATAGTGAACAAGTGCAAAGTGGCTAATGAAGCCTGGCTGAATCAAATGTGTACAGAGATTGGGGAAAATCACAGGAAAGACTCACATTCCATGTACCAACAGATAAAAATGTTAACAGGAAAGATGACATGTAACAGCACTGGATGTTTGAAATCAAAAGATGGTGACTTATTAATGGGACATAGTAATACAATTAACAGATGTACAGAGTATATAGGGGAATTGTATGATGATAATAGACCAGATGTAGAACTGCAGAACATCAATGATGGTCCACCAATAATGACTACAGAAGTTGAGGATGCAATACATCATATGAAGAAAGGAAAAGCACCCGGGCCAGACAACATCTCACTGGAAGAAATCGAAGCACTGGGAGATTTTGGAATTGAAATAATAACTAAACTTTTAAATGATATTTATAATAGTGGGTATATTCCAAATGACCTTTTAAAATCCATATTTATAGCTCTGCCAAAGAAACCAGGCACTATAAAATGTGAAGACCATCGCACAATAAGTCTTATGAGTCACATGACTAAGATTTTACTGAGAATAATTATGAGAAGAATAAGAAACAAAATTAAACCAGAAATCAGCGATGAACAGTGTAGATTTGTAGAAGGAAAAGGTACAAACAATGCCATATACATCCTAAGGACATTGTCAGAAATAGATATAGAAGTAAAGACTGATTTGTACTTATGCTTCATAGACTATACAAAAGCATTTGTCTGTGTGAAGCATGAAGAATTAATCAAACTGTTAGAAAAATTAAACATTGATGGGAAACATCTACGAATAATAAAGAATATGTATTGGCAGCAAACAGTAGCTATAAGAATAAACAACTGTTTAGAAAAATTAAACATTGATGGGAAACATCTACGAATAATAAAGAATATGTATTGGCAGCAAACAGTAGCTATAAGAATAAACAACTGTTTAGGTACATTCTAAAGCATAAAGAGGGGCGTACGACAAGGATGTGTACTGTCACCTGATTTGTTTTCAATATACAGTGAATATATAATGAGAGCTTTAATTGGTATGCCCAGAATTGTGGTTGGTGGGCACAATATAAACAATTTATGTTATGCTGATGACACAGTCTTGATAGCAACAAGTCAGAAAGAACTACAGGAAATGATAGACATTGTGGTGTTAGAAAGTGGAAGAATGGGCCTCAGTTTGAATAATGGGAAGACAGAAGTAATGGTGGTATCAAAGAAACGAATTATTCCTAAATGTGTAATAAAAGTTAATGGTGTTATTTTAGGACAAGTACAGAAATTTAAGTATCTGGGCACATGGATAACATCAGATGGAAAATGCATAACTGAGATAAGAAACAGAATAGGACAGGCAAAAACTGCATTTTATAAAATGAAAAACATCTTGTGCAATATATCCTTGTCATTGAGAGTTAGAAAAAGAATTCTTGCTTGCTACATACATCCAGTTTTAACATATGGCTGTGAATCCTGGACAATCGTTAGGCAGGCCAAACAATTTTTGGAGGCCTCAGAGATGTGGTTTTACAGAAGAATGCTTAGAATACCTTGCACAGCCAAAAAGAGCAATCAGGAGCTTTTGAAACAGGCAACTTATCACAGACTGATACATGCTGCAGGAGATCGCAGATTATGGAGAGGCATGATCGCCCACGCCAGTCGGCAAGGCACCTGATGATGATGATGATAATGATTGCTGGTGCTTAACTAAAGACTTTTAAGGCTGTTTTATGTATTGCTATGGCCATCCTCTTATTAATTTCTGTCAAACAGTCACCATTGCTTTTTATTATAGATCCTAGATATTCAAAGTTTGTGACATTTTTAATTTCTTCATCATTATTTATTTTTGGGTGACAGCCAGTTTTATCTGTGGACATTATTTTCATTTTCTTTAAATTCAAGTACAGATTTTTATCTTCACTGTGCTTTTGCGGTATCGGTATCTGTTCACAAATAAATATATATATATATATATATATATATATATATATATATATATATATTTATTCATTTATTTATTTATTTTAGGTGTAAAACATGAGGCTGAAAGAGTCGTTAGTGGAGGAACTGATCCAGATGTTGGCATGATTGTCGGTATCATCATCGGTTGTCTTGTTGCCATTGCTATTGTTGTTGGCATCATCGTTTTCCTCCGATACCGCAAGCGCTCTCAAGAAAACCGTAAGTTGATTTAAAGTGGTGTGACATTTTATTGTTACACAATTTATCCAAGTAAACTAATGCAGCCCATAAAATAAACACATTGATTACTTGCCTCTTTGTGCAGTGAAATTTGAAATGGCAAGCTGCTACTAGATATTTTGATAGTTGATTGAAGTTCTGTATTGGATAGGTCTTAAATATCAAAACTTCAGGTCCAGAGCATCCCATTGCCAGGCATAGAAAGATCTGCTCAAACAATGACTTGATGACCCAACAGCATTCAGTTTTGTGAGAAGATAAGATTGATGAATGGATGACTTGATGACCCAACAGCATTCAGTTTTGTGAGAAGATAGATTGATGAATTGATGACCCAACAGCATTCAGTTTTGTGAGAAGATAGTTTGATGAATGGATGGACTGACTGACTGACTGATTGAAGGATCAGTTTTTTAAAATTTTTTCTTATAGAGCAGAAACATGGAGAATGACTGAAACAGTTACTAATAAACTTTAAGCATCAATTTGTGCCTGCAAAGAAAGAAAGAATTAAATAAATATTACAGAATCACTCATTTGAAGCTTTGGAAGAGTATTAAACAAATTTTATAACTAGAATGTTCTTACATTGAAACTTGAAGTTCCAAAGAAGAAACCCCTCCATCCCCCACCCACCCAAAAAATTGGCGGTTCAAATGATTCTAATAGGGAGGACATGGGAGGAGTTGCACAATATGGCAAAGAATAGAACAGTTTGATACAAATTGTTTGAGTGTCTGCTTCATTCCAGTAAAACAAAGGGCAGAATAAGAAAAGGTGGATGAGAATGAGAAAGTAAAGATAAAAGTTTCAGGATCCCATATTCAAACTATGATAGCATATCTGGGGTATGATGGCTAGCTGATTTTCTGGAGATCTGTGCATGTATACAGAAGAGTAGGTAGTATTTCATGGAAAATACGTTTTTGAAAAGCTTAGGTTGCTAAAAAAATGAGATAAAATCTGTGATTTGAAGGACTTGTCTCACATGCACCTTGTCCTTACATTTAATGCCTTCACCTTCTGTTCTGTCATGATAGTCGGTATTACGTTTAATGCTTTTCCCTTCTGTTCTGTCATGATAGTTGGTCTTACATTTGATGCCTTCACCTACTGTCATGATAGTCGTTCTTACATTTGATGCCTTCACCTACTGTCATGATAGTCATTCTTACATTTGATGCCTTCACCTACTGTCATGATAGTCGTTCTTACATTTGATGCCTTCACCTACTGTCATGATAGTAATTTTTACATTTGATGCCTTCACCTACTGTCATGATAGTTGGTCTTACATTTGATGCCTTCACCTACTGTTCTGTCATGATAGTTGGTCTTACATTTGATGCCTTCACCTACTGTCATGATAGTCATTCTTACATTTGATGCCTTCACCTACGGTCATGATAGGCATTCTTACATTTGATGCTTTCACCTACTGTTCCGTCATGATAGTCATTCTTACATTTGATGCCCTCATCTACTGTCATGATAGGCATTCTTACATTTGATGCCTTCACCTTTTGTTCTGTCATGATAGTCATTCCTACATATGATGCCTTCACCTACTGTTCTGTCATGATAGTCAGTCTTACATTTGATGCCTTCACCTACTGTTCTGTCATGATAGTCAGTCTTACATTTAATGCCTTCACCTACTGTTCTGTCATGATAGTTGGTCTTACATTTGATGCCTTCACCTACTGTTCTGTCATGATAGTTGGTCTTACATTTAATGCCTTCACCTACTGTTCTGTCATGATAGTTGGTCTTACATTTAATGCCTTCACCTACTGTTCTGTCATGATAGTTGTTCTTACATTTAATGCCTTCACCTACTGTTCTGTCATGATAGTCGGTCTTACATTTAATGCCTTCACCTACTGTTCTGTCATGATAGTTGTTCTTACATTTAATGCCTTCACCTACTGTTCTGTCATGATAGTCGGTCTTACATTTAATGCCTTCACCTACTGTCATGATAGTTGGTCTTACATTTGATGCCTTCACCTACTGTTCTGTCAAGATAGTTGGTCTTACATTTAATGCCTTCACCTACTGTTCTGTCATGATAGTTGGTCTTACATTTAATGCCTTCACCTACTGTTCTGTCATGATAGTTGTTCTTACATTTGATGCCTTCACCTTCTGTTCTGTCATGATAGTCATTCTTACATTTGATGCTTTCACCTACTGTCATGATAGTCGGTCGTACATTTGATGCCTTCACCTACTGTCATGATAGTCGTTCTTACATTTGATGCCTTCACCATCTGTTCTGTCATGATAGTTGGTCTTACATTTAATGCCTTCACCTACTGTTCTGTCAAGATAGTTGGTCTTACATTTGATGCCTTTCCCTTCTGTTCTGTCATGATAGTTGGTCTTACATTTGATGCCTTCACCTACTGTTCTGTCATGATAGTTGGTCTTACATTTGAAACCTTCACCTTCTGTTCTGTCATGATAGTTAGTCTTACATTTGATGCCTTCACCTACTGTTCTGTCATGATAGTTGGTCTTACATTTGAAACCTTCACCTTCTGTTCTGTCATGATAGTCGGTCTTACATTTGATGCCTTCACCTACTGTTCTGTCATGATAGTTGGTCTTACATTTGAAACCTTCACCTTCTGTTCTGTCATGATAGTCGGTCATACATTTGATGCCTTCACCTACTGTTCTGTCATGATAGTTGGTCTTACATTTGAAACCTTCACCTTCTGTTCTGTCATGATAGTTGGTCTTACATTTGATGCCTTCACCTACTGTTCTGTCATGATAGTTGGTCTTACATTTGATGCCTTCACCTACTGTTCTGTCATGATAGTTGGTCTTACATTTGATGCCTTCACCTACTGTTCTGTCATGATAGTCGGTCTTACATTTGATGCCTTCACCTTTTCGTTCTGTCATGATAGTCATTTCTACATTTGATGCCTTCACCTACTGTTCTGTCATGATAGTCATTCTTACATTTGATGCCTTCACCTACTGTTCTGTCATGATAGTTGGTCTTACATTTGATGCCTTTCCCTTCTGTTCTGTCATGATAGTTGGTCTTACATTTGATGCCTTCACCTACTGTTCTGTCATGATAGTTGGTCTTACATTTGAAACCTTCACTTTCTGTTCTGTCATGATAGTTGATCTTACATTCAAAACCTTCACCTTCTGTTCTGTCATGATAGTTAGTCTTACATTTGATGCCTTCACCTTCTGTTCTGTCATGATAGTTGGTCTTGAATTGATGCCTTCACCTACTGTTCTGTCATGATAGCTGGTCTTGAATTGATGCCTTCACCTACTGTTCTGTCATGATAGCTGGTCTTGAATTGATGCCTTCACCTACTGTTCTGTCATGATAGTTGGTCTTACATTTGAAACCTTCACCTTCTGTTCTGCCATGATAGTTGGTCTTACATTTGAAACCTTCACCTTCTGTTCTGTCATTCTTCTTCTTCTTCTTCGATCCTTCTGTCAGAAAACTTTTATTAGGAGGCCGGTAGCCTTTATAAAAGCTATTGTGCAATCCATATCCTCTCGTGTACCATACAGTTTTGTCTTCAGTGTGGTTGGAACAGGCCAGATTGGGTCTCTGTTGTCAGCATACAGTTGACAGTGTTGGAGCACATGCTCAGCATTTTCGGGTGCCATGCTGCAGGGACACATCTCCGTATTTCCTACACCAAAAAATGTGAATATATGTTGACGAAATCTGTTGTGCCCAGTCCTTAGTCTGAATATAATACACTGTCCCTCTCTAGAAAGGCGATGAAGTGAGTCTTGGGGAGAAAATCTGGTGTGGGTATCCAGCCACCTTTCTTGGATACTAGATTGTATTAGTGTTTTCATCTCTTGGTGGGTTAAGTCGCTATTTGGTTGTACCATGTCACTGCCGCTTCTGGCCAATCTGTCCGCTATTTCATTGCCTTCAAAGCCACAGTGACCTGATTTGATGCCTTCACCTACTGTTCTGCCATGATAGTTGGTCTTACATTTGAAACCTTCACCTACTGTTCTGCCATGATAGTTGGTCTTACATTTGAAACCTTCACCTTCTGTTCTGTAATGATAGTTGGTCTTACATTTGATGCCTTCACCTACTGTTCTGCCATGATAGTTGATCTTACATTTGAAACCTTCACCTTCTGTTCTGTCATGATAGTTGGTTTTACATTTGAAACCTTCACCTACTGTTCTGCCATGATAGTTGGTCTTACATTTGATGCCTTCACCTACTGTTCTGTCATGATAGTTGGTCTTACATTTGATGCTTTCACCTTCTGTTCTGCCATGATAGTTGGTCTTACATTTGAAACCTTCACCTTCTGTTCTGTAATGATAGTTGGTCTTACATTTGATGCCTTCACCTACTGTTCTGTCATGATAGTCAGTCTTACATTTGATGCTTTCACCTACTCAGGGCTTTTCAGCTAAGTTTACCCATGGACCACAATTTTGAAAATAAGGATAGCCACGGGCTTGTAGTTTGTGCCCCAGCACAGAAGAAATCAATTATACATTACAACTAGTAATGATCTGCTGGCCTTTTAATAGGCCCCCTTGGGCAAAATCTGGCCGGTGGCTGCCAACTGAATAGCCTTGACTTAGATGAATGTACACATTTATTTTCTGTATTTGTATTTTTGCAGTTTGGTAAAATATGTCTTTGTATTTTGTCCCATTTTACAGGTTCAGGCAATAAGGATGAAATGTAAGTAGTCTTGTCATTAACATTATTTATAAGCCTCTAATTCATTCAGTACTTGCCAGTTTGTCTCCCCATTAAAGCTGTTTTTCTGACATGTATGGTTTTTTTGATGACATGAAATCTTTGGAAAGTGGCTGCTAGGCTTTTACAGGCTTTGGTACAGGCTGAAAACTGCACTGACCAATACATTTGGCATAAAGAAACCAAACCACAATTATAATCACATCTGCTTGCAGTTGGTTGAACGTGATCAGCTTTTTTTTAATGACCCAACAGCATTTCTCCCCCCCCCCCCCCCCCTTTCAATGTAAGAAATTATATGAGTTAAAAAGTCAACTTTCTTTTTTAAATTGACATTATTGCTACAATGAATAGGCAACACTTTTAGTCAAGAGAAACATTGGCGCAAGTCAAACTTAACGGGTTGCTGAATGAATTACAAAAGACAGTGAAGTTTATACAAGAGACAACATTGCAGATATAGATAATCTATTTCACGCGAATGAAAGAAGAAAAAGAAGGACAATGAATAGGGCACTAGAATAGATAATAACTATATATGAAAGGCTCTCTCTCCGCAAGGTCACTAACAACTCGAGAAGAGAGAGGGCCACAAATACCAGCATCAGAGAGAAAGTCACAATAAGACCATGCCTGGATAATATTGACAGACATAGAAGGATCTTGTTCAGCCATCTAGTGAGAATGCAGCCAGACCAAACTGCATATGAAACTGTTTACAGTAGAACATCTGGGAGGAAGGCCAGGTATGCATATGAAACTGTTTACAGTAGAACATCTGGGAGGAAGGCCAGGTATGCATATGAAACTGTTTACAGTAGAACATCTGGGAGGAAGGCCAGGTATAAATCAAGAAAGAGATGGATAAATGGTGTAACAGAAACCTCAAAAGATGAACAAATCCATCATCCATTCAAGCCACCCGAGAAACAAGAGACAAAAATAGAAAAACCATGACACTGGGCTACAACCTGGCATCAGTAAGACGACAAAAGAAGAAAAAGACATTAAAAAAAATATAGGACATCACTTTGTTGGCAGTGCCTTTGCCTTACCAACAGTTTGACTGGAGGTCATGGCAACAACTAAAGCAATAGCCTGGCTAGAAACACACTTTTACCCGGGCATGCTTTCTCACTGACTCAATAAATATGCTCAGGAAGATCAAGAAGGGTTGCATACAAAGACAATGAGTGGAGTCCATGAGTATATCTAGGCTGAAAAAATCAGCTTCATATTTGTTCCTGGGTATTCTGGTGTAAAGGGCAATGAACCAGCTGATAGACTTGCAATTGATGCTCATGTGGTAAATGGATGAGCAGTGAACAGAGCTGATATACTGAATGCTTTCAGAGAAGCAGCTCGATAAAACGAATCCAGTAATGATTGTGAATCTGCACCACTGACGAGATTACACAAACATAACATTAAAAGGGGTGAAGCCAGACAAGCGCGCTACACAATGGCCCAACGAAGAATACTAAACCAGCACAGAACTGGTGTCATAAGCCACTAAACCAGCACAGAACTGGTGTCATAAGCCACTAAACCAGCACAGAACTGGTGTCATAAGCCACTAAACCAGCACAGAACTGGTGTCATAAGCCACTAAACCAGCACAGAACTGGTGTCATAAGCCACTAAACCAGCACAGAACTGGTGTCATAGGCCACTAAACCAGCACAGAACTGGTGTCATAAGCCACTAAACCAGCACAGAACTGGTGTCATAAGCCACTAAACCAGCACAGAACTGGTGTCATAAGCCACTAAACCAGCACAGAACTGGTGTCATAAGCCACTAAACTAGCACAGAACTGGTGTCATGAGCCACTAAACCAGCACAGAACTGGTGTCATAAGCCACTAAACCAGCACAGAACTGGTGTCATAAGCCACTAAACTAGCACAGAACTGGTGTCATAAGCCACTAAACCAGCACAGACCTGGTGTCATAAGCCACTAAACCAGCACAGAACTGGTGTCATGAGCCACTAAACCAGCACAGAACTGGTGTCATAAGCCACTAAACCAGCACAGAACTGGTGTCATAAGCCACTAAACCAGCACAGAACTGGTGTCATAAGCCACTAAACCAGCACAGAACTGGTGTCATAAGCCACTAAACACAGAGGGAGATACTGAAGAGGGAATCTGAGCACTTATGGACTGGATGGTTCGATGTGTGATGATGATAAAATGTTGACTAACTAACTATCTTTGCTGCCATGCTAAGTTAACAGAGCCTCTCGTTTCATGGTCACGAGGAAGGAAGTCTGTTAATTATATGCTCAGTTTCAGTTTAGTCATTAATTCTCTTTAAAAAAAATTTTTTTACCCAAAACAATGATTACAATTGTACATGCCTGTCATATTTCTCCTGCTTCTTCAGTCTCTCAAGTTTCACAGGACTTAAATAATTATTTTTTGTTTCTTTTCTTTTTTTTTTAATGAAATTTGTAAACATTTTTATGGAGTTGAAAGTTGGATTAAGAACTGATTTCACAGTACTCAGGACACTCCCATAAGCTCTCGTTCCCCATCTTCGGCAGCAAGCGAAGTGTTCTAATTCTGATGGTACTAGTAACTGATTGTGTATCCGTCTCGCCCTTTCCGTGAGTGTTGAGCATTGCCCAGATTCCCTAACTCCTTGCAGTGCCATTCTCCTCAGACCGCAATGATCTATTTTTGCCTTTGCACTATTCACTCGCTACTCAGAGAACACACTCATTCACTCATGTTTTTTTTTTAATGGAGTGAAAGGAATATTGAGATTTTTTTTTTTTCAGAGTAATTGTACTTGAGAGTAATAAACTGTTGGCCTGAAAGGGTTAAAATAATAAAACTGGCATGTACAAAGTCAAAGGAGTATTTGGCATAACGTGCAGTAGTAAAGGTTAAGGGCACATTACTGATGGTCTTGTTACTGTGACTGTTTTATCCTTTGCTGATTTTATCATATACTGACACTGTTCTTGATTTCAGTGATGCTGCCAATGAGGCGAACCTTCATGCTCCACCTCCAGTGTTCTACCCCTCCAGCAAACAGAGTAAAGGATCTAAGGATGAGAAGGATACCAAGGTCAGTTTTAATTACACAAACAATTCAGTCTGTTGTAGTTCTGTAGCTGCATGATTATCTTCCTTGCTTTCTGTTTGTTTGTTTTTTCTACTGCTGTCTTGATGTTTATATCAGTAGCTAGTGTATCCATTCTGTTATATTGTATCTCTTGTGTTTATGATTCCTAGTAGTTGTCTTGTCATCTCTGTACATGATTCTGGTTCTTTGGTGTGAATAGTGTTAGGCAACTCTTCATAAACTTTTCTGAGATATTCTGTCTGTGGCAATGTGAAAACAATGAGCTTACCTGATATTCTGTCTGTGGCAATGAGAAAACAATGAGGTTTTCTGATATTCTTTCTGTGGCAATGAGAAAACAATGAGGTTATCTGATATTCTGTCTGTGGCAATGAGAAAACAATGAGGTTATCTGATATTCTGTCTGTGGCAATGAGAAAACAATGAGGTTATCTGATATTCTTTCTGTGGCAATGAGAAAACAATGAGGTTACCTGATATTCTGTCTGTGGCAATGAGAAAACAATGAGGTTATCTGATATTCTTTCTGTGGCAATGAGAAAACAATGAGGTTATCTTCTTAAACATTTGTATTGGGCAATTTTTAAATGGCTAAATCTAATATATAGTCCATGTACCAAAAAAACAACCAGCAGTAATTGACACACACAAATATTGAAGAGTGCAGGAGAAAAACAAAAAGTAAATATCCCAGCTGTAACCAAGATGGATTAAACAAACAGGTCATCATATTTTTTGTTAAATTCATCATCATCGTCAGTTTCCACTTCTGCCGTTAAGCGTTGTGGGGAGGAACAGTTTGCGATCCATTGCTTGATGGGCAGCAATGGCTATTGTCATTCATGTCAATGTAGAAGCTCTCTAATGTCATCAGTCCATATTCTCTTAGGGTGGCCTCTTGCTTTCACTTCAGATCTTCTCATGTGTAGCGCCTGCGTGGGTAGTTGTTTTAGCTTACAAGATGACCAAACCATTTTATCTTCTGTTTCTCAAAGAATTTTTTGCATGGTTTTGTTCCTACAGACTCTCTGATAATATCATTTCTAAATTTGTCTTTGATGGTTAAATTGGTGGCTTTTCTTAGGCATCTCATTTCACAGGTGTTAATTTTACATAGTTTAGCCTTTAATAATGTCCAAGTTTGGCACTAGTAGCACAGTGTTGGAATGAATATGCTGTTTATTATCTGTTTCTTGGCGCTGGTACTTATGTTTGGATTTCTTAATAACGGTGTCAGTTGGTATACAAGTGTGCATGCTCGTTGGCATCTTGTTTCTATTTTTCGATCTGTTCTCCCATCTTCTGAGAATATATCTCCTAAATATTTAAATTCTTTAACTTGCTTTAGACAAGTTCCATTCAGTCTGATATGTAGCGTTCTAGGAATTCTGCTGGCCTGCTTTACTTCAGTTTTTTATTTTTTTTTTTTTTTTTTTTAAATTAGTACTGCCAGATGTGCAAACTGATAACAGCTATCATGTTTCTATTAGTATAATCTGTCTAAATCATTTTTCATCTTGAACTTCCTGTATTTTCTGAGCTAAAAATCCTGTGTCATCAGTTGAATCCATTCGTTGTCAAGGCCAACCACTCTTATATAGCAATGCATAGCTTGTGTGGCAACGCCATAGGTTGTCCATTTTTGTATCTTATCAGTGCAATTTAAATTTTTGTTGCATCTGTCTCTTGATTGTCTACTTTTATATGTTTTCTGTATAATTATTTTTAAACAGCCAGTCAGGCACACTGTTAACATTTCACATCTCACAAAGTGGTCTTAAGAACTAGTATTAAAAAATTGTATGTCAAGATTATTTGCTTTCGAAAATACTTTGTGGTTAATTGTCTAGTTTAATTTTGATATTAAAGAGTTACATTATCTTGGTCGCCGTCTAGGGTACCTTTTTCTCTAACACATAAAAATGCTTGATAGGAAACCAGCTAAATTGTGTTTGAATGTACTTCCTTCTTCTTCATGTTCACCAGCTGTAAACTCTGGCGGAAAGTTCTGGTTGTTCATCCACTTATGGACTGCAGTTCTGTTCCAGAACCAGAGTTTTGCTTGTGCATCTGTTTTACAGATCTGACTCTTTTGTATGCAGACTGCTGGTTCCTTGCCCTTCGGGCAGATGCAGTCTGACTTCGAAGGAGTCTCCCAATTAGTCGACTCTTACGACATGCTTTTGGGTAGGCAGTGGGTCTATTCTTTTTTGCCCCCTATAAACATCATCAGGTGCCTTGCCGACTGGCGTGGGCGATCATGCCTCTCCTCAATCTGCGATCTTCTGCAGCATGTATCAGTTCGTGTGCCGACACACCTCCATGCCATGCAACAAGGCTGTCAAGCATCTTCTCTCGTTGTCTTTCTCTATCTCTCCTTCCTCAGATCTTTCCAGTGGTCACAGCATGTTCTATTTTTCCTCTTCTCATAAAATATATAATAGGGTCTCTTTTTGAATGTACTGAAAGCTACCAGAAGTAGTCAGTTTTGCCTTTGCTTATTTTGCTCTTGTGTTTTGAAGTTAATAAATGTGTATAACTTATCACAGCATTATAATTTCATGCCATTTTATATCATTTAGGGTTCATAGTCTACACCTTCCTTCCATTTTATCCTGTGCAATCCTTTCTATTTCATGGGTAGGTAGATTCCATTCCAGCAGGTTAGCCTCTTTCAACAACTTTAATCTAAGGGTTTCTATTGGACATTCCTATTTCCCTAGTCTTTTTTCCCCCATATTTTAAAGCCTGTTTAATAATTCTCTTTTCACCTGTCTTGTTGTAGTGCCAGATATCATCATCATCATGTAGCAGGTCCTTTACAGAACGTTGCTCTTATCATGGTCTGCCTGAAAGAAACTTTGGTCTTTCGCCAGGTTTCCGGCCGCATGTACTTTCATACTCAAGTGCCAGATATATTGCAGTATTTTTCTTATAATTGTTGATGCTAGCGTTTCCCATACATTTCTTATTTCTTTTCCTTTTTCGTGAATTTATCCTATTTAATGTTCAACATCGTCTACTACATTCACCCATAAAAGGACAGTTGGTGTGCATTGTGGTTTACAGCTAGGCTGTAAAATCTGCATCATTCAGCTTGACATGTCAAATTTTAGCAAATCCCTAGTTACTTACTTTTCACGACACACTGGTTAATAAGTAGGGCAATGGATCGACGCCATAAAATGGGGCTCAAAAACCCACAAAGAGGTAAATGCTCATCAGTTTCCTTAGGTTTTGTTTAATTGCCTGCGTAAGGTAAATAATTTTGTTATCTAGGTTTGCAGCCATGAAGATTTTCATTAGGCTATCACTTTTTTTTTTAAACTACAAAACTGGTACATGCCTAGATCATGGCATCCTAAGTGGTTACTTATTTGTGTTTAAACAGGTTTTAAACTGTGACTGTCCTTTATCTTGTTTCTACTTGTATTTTAATTCTCCTTCCATTCAATTTTCTTGTTTTGTGTATCGTAAAGGCCAGTCATCTTATTTCTTTAGTTTTGTAGATGATTTACTTTTCTAAAAATGTGTAGTATTGTTGGGATATTTTGCTGCCTGATGACTATTATAATGCTGACCAAAATTGAATTGTAGGAGAAAAATTTGTGTCTGTAAGAGGACAGAAAGAACAAAAAACGAGAGAGAGAGAAAAAGATAAAGATAGAATGTTATGGATTCCAGAGTTAGTGAGTTAGTGCAATATTATTTTTTACAAACACATTTATAATTTCAGGTGGGTTAAATTTAAACCAAGAAAAACTATAAAAGTGACAAAAAATAGGCAGTATATTAACTGATTGTAAAGATTTGGTATGTACTGGCAAGTTGAAGATCTTGCCTGATAGGCTTTATTTCAAGAGCCAAGTATTAGGGGAAACAGCTGACAAAGGTAAATACCACTTGGGTACAGAATATGAGTTTTAATAGGTTTTGTCTATGAGTATTTATGATCTGGACAAACAAATCCATCACACTTGAATTTCACTTGTTTATTTTCTTTACCTACAGTCTTTATGTTGTAGATGGAAAGTCTTTCAGTGTGATATATTTCTGTGCTAGAAAGAAGAATTAGACATAGTTGCATGCAAATAACACTCTGCTTGTATTATTGTAACTCTAATTTAAAATTAACACTTGTCGTGTGTCACATTATCCTAAACTATTATGATAATTATCTTATTAACTTTGACATTTACTGTTTTTCCTTTGCCGTTCTTGAAGTATGTCTCAATTTGTTCCTTCTTGAAATTTTTATAACAGGTCTGAAAGGCATTGGCAAGAAGTAAATAAAACTGATAGCAAAACTATCATTAGATAAACATTTAGAAGTAATAACGGAAGATTTCTTTAACTTTTCACCATTTAATTTTCAGTTATTGGTGAACATAGAAGATGAAATTTAAAAAAAAAAAATTTTTAATAATATTAAAAAATGCCACAAAGGTAGAATTTCATAACTTTCTGACAAGCATTATGCACACTCGTAAGTTCTACCAACCTTCTCCTAAGTAAAAAAAAAATGTGATTTCTGTAATATTATATACACGTCTCTCTGTCTCTCTGTTTATCTGTCTCTCGCTGCCTGTCTCTTTCTGTCTCTGTCTTTCTACTTCTGTCTCTCTTTCTCTTTTAATCTCTGTCTCTCTCTTGCTATCTGCCATTCTCTGTTTCTCTCGCTGTCTGGATGTCTGTCATTTTGTTTCTATCTCTGTCTCTCTCTCTCCCTGTCTCTCTATCTCTTTATTTCATTCTCTCTTTCTTTTTCCTCTCTCTCTCTCTCTCTCTTTCTCTTCCCCCCCCCTCTCTCTCTCTCTCTGTTCCCTAGAACCTAATTTCTTGTAAACATTTTCTGTTCCTGGTTTCTGGGGCCTGTTTTAGAATGCATTCCTATGTCTCTGAATAGGCTCTCTGATAGGCTAAAGTTACTCTCTTACTATTTGAAACTGGTAAAATGTTTTTTTTTTAAATATATTAAAAAT